GTAAGTTATAAATATTATATATTTCTATTTAAATTATTATCGATGTAAATATAAATATAAGATATTTACCATATATTCCAGGAGTTATCAAACAAATAAACTATGAACTTCTTAACTTCCCAGAGAGGTTATCCAACACAGGAACCATGAACTTTTTAAATAACTTCTAATTTCTAGTTCTTCAGTAACTTCCAATTTCCAATTCATGTTCTTGCTTCCTGTTATCAAACACGCAATAATGTATGGAAATGTGTGTCTGAATGACTACTTATGAATTTGATATATTGTTTAGAGAAAATTATAAATACCTCAAAATAAATTTTGTAAACATTCTGCCCTATTACTTTTAGTATCACACTTTAAACCCAGGCACAGTTTTTTATTGCTTTCACCCTAGTCAAAAAGTAAACTATTTAAATACTAAACTAAATGATCTCTCTCTCTTTGTCTCTCTACTCACTCACTGTCTGGCACATTTTTGTGTCAGACTGCAAAACAATTTCGATCCCACATAATTTTTTCGGTCCGACACAAAATTATGCTTGTGTCAGACGGGTCACATGCTCCTGAAAATGCAAAAGCCCCATAAGATAGTCTGATATAAAACTGTGTCGGACTTCTTTATGGGTCCTTTGGATTTTCAGAAGCCTATGACCAGCCAGGTACATCTTTGTGCTAGACCAATCATAGGTTTCTGAAGCGGGAGGGCGGATAGAGAGAGAGAGAGGGTTGGTAGAGAGACAAAGAGAGAGTGCGAGTAGAGAGAGACAAAGAGAGAGATATATGATTTACTTTTTAACTGAGAGATAAAAGCAAGAAAAAATAGCGATTGTATTTAAAATGTGACATTAAAATTACTAGAAGGTAGAATGCCTACAAAATTCATTTTCAGGAGTATCTATAATTTTCCCTATTTTTTGTTCCGATATTTGTGTAGACTACTCTAATACACGTTTATGTGCATACATGGCATAGGTTTCCACCATTTTAGGTGGCAAACAATGAGCTTCCCTTGTGATTTTATATTGCTTTTAGCTTCCATCCATCATATCCTCTCGGGGGGCAACATTATTTATTGAACATTATAGAATGATCCATATCATCGTGATCACAACATGATTATGCAAATATCACCCTCCAATCAAATGAATCGAACATTCATGTTATATTGTTGAGATAGATAAGTGGCAATACAGATAGAATTTGAAATGAATACATTTGAAAAAAATTTAAGTTTAACACCAAAAGACAATAAGATGAGAGAAAGTAGATTTAGGTGAAGCACAGACCTAGTACAACACTTATTATGATGTGCGAGTTAGTTCAAATAGAAGGCTGAAAAAAATTAAATGATAGCCTAAAAGGACATGGTTGAAAGTAGTGAGAAAAAGTATAGGGGCTTATGACCTCACTAATGACATGTTTGTTTTTATGAAAGTATTTTGTCATAAATTATTCTTTCAGATTTTGAAAACGTTTTGTTTCACACTTTTCATAAAAAGTTTAGAAACTAATCTTTCAACAAAAGTCCTCATTCCTTGGTAAAAAAGTGAAAGATTAAGTTCCTAAAGGGGGTAGGAACTTAATCTTTCATAACTTTTTTGTTGATCACTATTCACTATGCATAATATAAATATATAACATTAGTATTATTAATATGATATAATATAATATAATATTACGCTATATTATATATTTATTTTATTAATATAATTTATATTGTATAGTATATAATATATAAATATATTATATATAATATATAAATATATTATATATAATATCATATATAAATATATTATAAAATTATAACATATGATATTATATATAAATATAATATATGTACTAGTATATAATATATATTTATATTATACTAAATATTATATATAATATTTATATTAAAATATAAATATAATAT